CACACACACTTTGTCTCGAGTTTGCCGAGAAATATACATCCGGACCACTCGTTGGACCGATACAGCTTCGTGTTGGATGACGAAGCATGTCCGGACCACGCAATCCGGACGGTTTGAGGGAACATGTGAACGATAAAATAAGATTTGAAATTTGGCTAAGATTTAAGATTTGTAACCCGTGCAAATGTCTACAGCTGTGAATGATAAGCAGAATTGCTAATTTTCGTCCGGATGAAATCAATTTGCTTTCATTCGTTTTTCTGTCCGCCTGGTCCTTGTGTCAAGATTCGTGTTTGAGGAAATCAAGAAGAGGGATGCTGCGAGATTGTGTTCAAGAAGAGGGATGTTTGTGATTTGAAATCCTTTTGTTAAGATTCGCGCAGTCCAGAAGTTACGGACGGTTTGAGGGTTCGCTTTGAAGATACCCTAACGGGGGAAACTAAAGAGAAAATAAAGAAGAGGGAACCTGTGAACGATAAATTAAGATTTGAAATTCGTTTAAGATTTAAGATTTGTAACCTGTGCATATGTCTACATCTGTGAATTAAAAATTACATGGCCCTATTTTCAAGGATATCTGGAAGAGGGATGCTGCGAGATTGTGTTCAAGAAGAAAATTGATCGTAACCGAAATTGAAGCTGACATTTGCAAGCCGCAAGCAAACCGAGCGAAGGCAACTCATCGATGACGACGCTAGACAAGTTGTGCTAGATCCTAGAACAACGCGCGCGAGCCGCGAGCTCCATGAGTTATCATCAGCAGCTCCATATGCCCTGCACGCTTTGGGCAGGCTGGGCGAAGCCTTCCATGAGGATCGACAGCGCCATGGCCCTGTAGGCCTGCTGGGTGAGGTGGATGCCGTCCCAGCTCACGTGGCGTGCCGGGTCGGCGCACGTGCTCGCCCCGATCCCGCCGCACATCATGTCCATGTCGAAGTTGTGCTCCCCGCCGGCGCCGCAGCACGCCTTCAGCAGCGACCCCTCGTCGAACCCTGCCATGAAAGAAACACAAGGCGGCACATGCCATGCAGGTCAGCTCCCGGCTCTCGTTGAGGTTCCTGGCGCCTTGGAGCTTTGGTCGATTACCTAGGACGGCGGCGTGGTCGAGGAGGTGCAGGAAGGCGCCGTAGTAGTCGGCGTAGACGACGGAGATGTCGGCGTTGACCTTGCGGAGGTCGCCGATGGCCGCCTGGAGCTGCTCGTTGTGGTACGCGGCGAAGGCGTTGTAGCTCTTGAGGCAGCCCCGCTCGTCGTGGTCCGTGGAGCCGGCGGCGGAGAAGAGGGCGAGGTAGCTCGGCGAGCACCCGATCGGGAAGTTCCCCGGGATGATGATCTGGGTCGCCCCCAGCTCGATCACCTCCTGATTATAACCAATGAAATGCAAATGCCCGTACGGGTTAGATCGATTGATTAATCATTGGTTAATTTTAAGCTTTGCCGCTTGCCTTTGCGACGTCCATGATGCTCTTGACGACCAGTGGCACGTACGCCTTGACGGCCTCGACGGACCTCTTCTGAAAGAATGCGTAGTTGTAGTCGTTCCCGCCGATCTCCCCGACCAAGAACAAGGCTCCGCCCAGCTTCTTCGCGCAATCTGTAAACACGGCGAGTGACACAGCAGGAGTAAGCAGAGCAGAGCAATCTCCATGCTTCTGGTGCGATATGCATGGCGGCCTGCTCACCTTGCTGGCACGTGTCGTTGAGGTGCGATTTGAACCAGTCGAGCTGGGAGCTGAGCGGCGTGTTCCCCGGCGGCATGATGATCGCGTTCTGCAGGAGGTACGTGCGGTCCAGCGCCGTCGCGCCGGCCACCGCGAAGTTGACGCCGCCGCTGAAGTCGGCGCTCTTGTCCAGGTACGGGTTGACCAGCGGCAGGTCGAGCGCCATGGCTGCACGCGCCAGAGAAAAGAAAACTCGTCTCGTCACGCAGAGCATGAATGAATGAGGCTACCTCTGTCCCCCAAGGCAAGGCGAGAAGCTGAGCTCACCGAAGTAGTCGATGATGAGGAGGCCGTCGGAGCAGCGGCCGGTGGGCTTCCGGTACGTCTGGCCGTAGGGGTAGCTGCCGATGGAGGAGAAGAAGCCCACGGGGCCCTCGCGCAGGAGGTTGCCGGTGTCGGCGATGGAGTCCCCGAAGCTGTAGATGGCGTCGATGGAGCAGGCCGGCGCGGCCGAGTCCCACAGAGCCAGCAACAAGACCAAGGCCAGGAGGAGCTTGGCACGAGACGATGCAGCTGCCATGCTTAATTTGGTTGCCAGAACTTCTGAGGAAGATCTGGATGTGTTGTCAGGATTGGGAGATATGGAGATTGTTCTGTGTGATAGGTGGGATGATTTCTTATGTACTCACACGTTACAAGGAAAAAACATGCATGGATCGATGGTTTTTATTTTGCTAGAATATTTCTGCTCGCGGTAGGTTTTGGAGCAGCATGTTTGGTTCTTGTGCTAAGCTTCAGCTGAATCAGGTGGACTGCTTGTCTACTCTGGTTGACTGATGAGGCCAAGAGCTTGCTGGTGAGCAGTGGGTCAACCTAACAAACAAACCATTGAGATTTGCAAATATAGTTGTTGTTTTTTCAGGCGGACAGGGTGACATATATCCCTAGAGCCAAACTGGAATGAGAAAGTCCACAGTGCAACGAATGTGAAGTTGTGTAGTCCGGGCTACATGTAGCCCTTTATTTCAAAAAAATATCAAAAAAGATATTTCCAAGTTTCAAAAAAATATCTATGTAAACTTATACATATTCGTGATGGATCTGTAAATTTTCATTCAAAAATATTATGATTTGCAAGCTACACAAAAAAAAATCCGTCCGAACAACAACAAAAAAGTGGCCCATTTTCATGTACGTATTTGTCTTTTTGTCTACGCCACGTACGAAAGTTTATTGTTATGAATTTTTTTCTGAATGTGTTATACATCTATTTCTGTCTGTAGAAAAAAATTGTTCTCTGGAAAATGGTATTTTCAAAATGGGCTACATGTAGATGTAGCTCTTCCTACACTGGGCATTTTTAACATTACATCCCTGGACTATCAAAACCGCCTAGGATTCAACGCTTCCCTCCCCTGATCCTGGTTTTCTGAGTAGGCCAGGTTTAACTCGTTGATCATCCAGTCAGCTAGTCCACTAAGCACACACGTTAGCCTTTTATTGGCCAAATTTAGTCCAACAAATGAATGTATCTAAAAAATCGAAATAATTTTGCAAAATTAAGGTTAATATACTGATAATTCTGAGAAAGTTTCAGATATTTTTGCTGAACATATTTGAAAATACCCTGAAATTACAATTCCATGCCCTTAACCAGATTCTTTTGAATAAAACTGTAAAATCAATAATAATATAATGATCATTCTAGAAAATTTGAGATATTTTTGCCATAGATTTGAAAATACCTCGAAATTACAGTTCCAGTCCCTTTTTTGTCAAGAAAAGTCAAAAAATAAAAGTGTCCAGAAAAAAATATTGATCATTTTTGCAAATTTTCAGCCATTTTGACTGAATAGATTGAAAATACCCTGAAATTCCATTTTCTGCCCTATTTTACTATTTTTAGTTCATGTGCTAACATGGTTGCTGACTGGACGGTCAACGGGCTGAAATGTGGCATGCACTAGCCAAAACTAGGCTTAGGGAGGGAAGGGTTGAATCTAACCTGTTTTCAGAGTTATGGGTTGATTTTTATCCAGTTTTAGTGTTGAGGCTTGATTCTTAAAGATGTACATGAGTTTACGGTTGTAAAGTGGACTTCTCTCAACTGAAATTACTAGATTCGGAAAGGAAGAAAGGCCAGGTTATAGGTAGTACCAAAATAGTAATGCGAAGAAAATTGTACCTTGTTATTGGGAGGGGGTTAGGTATTTGTGGGCCATCAATTTTAGTGAATGAAGGCCCATATCATCTTGTAATGTGGCAAAAGGAGACCGGTAAGACCCTTCCAAATTCATAGATGTTTATAGCAAATGCAACCGTTCAGAGTGCTTAGGAACTAAACTATATAACGCATAGATACCTAATTTGTTGTAAATAAGTTTCCCTCATTTAATTAGTTGTAGGATCTCGGACGTCTCAGTGTTCAGGAGGAGGAGCTCCGCACGTGCCATGATGGAGAGACGAGGTTGGAGAAGAGACCGAGGGAAATATGCCCTAGAGGCAATAATAAAGTTGTTATTTATATTTCCTTATATCATGATAAATGTTTATTATGCATGCTAGAATTGTATTAACCGGAAACTTAGTACATGTGTGAATACATAGACAAACAGAGTGTCCCTAGTATGCCTCTACTTGACTAGCTCCTTAATCAAAGATGGTTAAGTTTTAACCATAGACATGTGTTGTCATTTGATGAACGGGATCACATCATTAGAGAATGATGTCATGGACACGATCCATCCGTTAGCTTAGCATAATGATCGTTTTTATTGATATTGCTTTTGTTGGGGAACGCAGCAGAATTTTAAAAAAAATTACGCATCACCAAGATCAATCTATGGAGTCATCTAGCAACGAGGGAGAGGGGAGTGCATCTACATACCCTTGTAGATCGCGAGCGGAAGCGTTCAAGAGAACGGGGTTGATGGAGTCGTACTCGTCGTGATCCACATCACCGATGACCGAGCGCCGAGCGGACGACACCTCCGCGTTCAACACACTTATGGTTGGGGAAGACGTCTCCTCCTTCTTGATCCAGCAAGGGAAAGGAGAGGTTGATGGAGATCCAGCAGCACGATGGCGTGGTGGTGGAAGCAAGGGTGATCTCGGCAGGGCTTCGCCAAGCTCCAACGAGAGGGAGAGGTGTTACGAGGGGAGGGGGAGGCGCCAGGGACTTGGGTGCGGCTGCCCTCCCTCCCCTCCACTATATATAGGGCCCCTAGGGGGGCGGCGGCCAAGGGGGGACTTTCCCCCCAAGTCAGGTGGGGCGCCCCACCCCTAGGGTTTCCAACCCTAGGCGCAGGGGGGGCCATGGGGGCGCACCAGCCCACCAGGGGCTGGTTCCCCTCCCACTTCAGCCCATGGGGCCCTCCGGGATAGGTGGCCCCACCCGTTGGACCCCCGGGACCCTTCTGGTGGTCCCGGTACAATACCGGTGACCCCTGAAACTTTCCCGGTGGCCGAAACTGGACTTCCTATATACAATTCTTCACCTCCGGACCATTCCGGAACTTCTCGTGACGTCCGGGATCTCATCCGGGACTCCGAACAACTTTCAGGTTACCGCATACTAATATCTCTACAACCCTAGCGTCACTGAACCTTAAGTGTGTAGACCCTACAGGTTCGGGAGACACGCAGACATGACCGAGCCGACTCTCCGGTCAATAACCAACAGCGGGATCTGGATACCCATGTTGGCTCCCACATGCTCCTCGATGATCTCATCGGATGAACCACGATGTCGAGGATTCAAGTAATCCCGTATATAATTCCCTTTGTCAATCGGTACGTTACTCGCCTGAGATTCGATCGTCGGTATCCCAATACCTCGTTCAATCTCGTTATCGGCAAGTCACTTTACTCGTACCATAATGCATGATCCCGTGACCAAACACTTGGTCACATTGAGCTCATTATGATGATGCATTACCGAGTGGGCCCAGAGATACCTCTCCGTCATACGGAGTGACATATCCCAGTCTCGATCCGTGTCAACCCAACAAATACTTTCGGGGATACCTGTAGTATACCTTTATAGTCACCCAGTTACGTTGTGACATTTGGTACACCCAAAGCACTCTTACGGCATCCGGGAGTTACACGATCTCATGGTCTAAGGAAATGATACTTAACATTGGAAAAGCTCTAGCAAATGAACTACACGATCTTGTGCTATGCTTAGGATTGGGTCTTGTCCATCACATCATTCTCCTAATGATGTGATCCCGTTATCAATGACATCCAATGTCCATAGTCAGGAAACCATGACTATCTGTTGATCAACGAGCTAGTTAACTAGAGGCTCACTAGGGACATGTTATGGTCTATGTATTCACACATGTATTATGATTTCCGGATAACACAATTATAGCATGAATAATAGACAATTATCATGAACAAGGAAATATAATAATAATCATTTTATTATTGCCTCTAGGGCATATTTCCAACAGTCTCCCACTTGCACTAGAGTCAATAATCTAGTTACATTATGATGAATCGAACACCCATAGAGTCCTTGTGTTGATCATGTTTTGCTCGCATAAGAGGTTTAGTCAACGGATCTGCGACATTCAGATCCGTATGTACTTTGCAAATATCTATGTCTCCATCTTGAACATTTTCACGAATGGAGTTGAAGCGACGCTTGATGTGCCTGATCTTCTTGTGAAACCTGGGCTCCTTGGCAAGGGCAATAGCTCCAGTGTTGTCACAGAAGAGAGTGATCAGCCCCGACGCATTGGGTATGACTCCTAGGTCGGTGATGAACTCCTTCATCCAGATTGCTTCATGCGCTGCCTCCGAGGCAGCCATGTACTCCGCTTCACATGTAGATCCCGCCACGACGCTTTGCTTGCAACTGCACCAGCTTACTGCCCCACCATTCAAAATATACACGTATCCGGTTTGTGACTTAGAGTCATCCAGATCTGTGTCGAAGCTAGCGTCGACATAACCCTTTACGACAAGCTCCTCGTCACCTTCATATACGAGAAACATATCCTTAGTCCTTTTCAGGTACTTCAGGACATTCTTGACCGTTGTCCAGTGTTCCATGCCGGGATTCTTTGGTACCTTCCTACCAAACTTACGGCAAGGTTTACATCAGGTCTGGTACACAACATGGCATACATGATAGACCCTATGGCTGAGGCATAGGGGACGATACTCATCTTTTCTCTATCTTCTGTCGTGGTCGGACATTGAGCTGAGCTCAAT